TCGTCTTCGTCTTCGACTTCACTTTGGTTAGGCCAAACTAGCCTGTTGGTAATTGGCTCTCTCTCTAGAGGCTTCCTTTGTTTCCTTTGAGGGACATTCGAACTAGTTTCTGCCTTAGGTTCGTTGGCAGCCTCCCTTTCAGCTTTTCGTCTCCTTTGATATCTCCTCCATTGAGATCGAGACATGGGATTTTTACCCTTGTAATTGTTGGACACTTGTGCAACCTTAGGTGCAGCAACTTGAGGCTCTTTCTTTTGAGTCAAAGAGGAACCTCTTGGCACATCGAAAGAATGCCATTTCTCCTCACTTGGCCTTTTCCGGCCAGAGGTTTTGTACCAAGTGTCTACTGGCACATTTGTCGGAGGCCTAAAAGTCAATGGCCTCTTGTCTTGGTTAGAACCCCTTCTGGGATCATGTCGAAGGTCAGCATTCTCCCTTCTCTTATTCGCTGCTCTTACGCCCTGAATGTGCTCAGCAGCTTTTTTATCAAAGATCGAACTGCATCTTGGACACAGCATCACCTCTGATTTCTTTTTCTGGCATCTTTGTAGAAAATCTGCCAAGTTTTCATTTTCCCGAGGGAAAGCAGTCTTATTAGCCTGTTCTTGCCTCATGGCCTCTTCTGATGCTTTTGGGTCAGAGAGTTCGACCATGTTGATATTCATTGTATCTTTGTTAGCAAGAGTTAACTGCTTCATTTGTATCTCCAGATTCTCCGCCTGGCCTTGAACGGTGGCCAAGTGGGAACTGGGCTTTGATCCAGTTTTTTGTGCTTCAGCAGTCTCCGACTTCGGGTTTTCGACCGCTTTCTGGACAGCTTCAATTGTCTTCCTGGATAAATTTCCAGAAAAACTGCCAAAGATTGGCATGTTGATGTGGTCCTTTGAGACTTCGACCATGGTAATTCCTGGCTTCTTCGACTGGATCCTGGTTGCCTCTATCATGTTCACCTCAGAGGGTTCAGCATAGTGGGCTTCAGCCTTCAGTGGATTGGAGTCGATAGCCATGGGGGATTTGTCTGCAAACTTTAATCTCCCTTCCTCAATAGCGTCTTGCACAAGATTCCTGAAAAGAAAACATTGAGAAGTTTTATGGCCCAAAAAATTATGATATTTGCAAAAATCTCTCTTCTTTCTTTGATCAAGAGGAGGCACTTTTACCCCTGGGGGTACTATCATTTGGCCATCTTTAACTAGCAAGTCGAATATTTCATCACACTTTGTGATGTCAAAACTATAAGTCTTTTTTGGGAACCTATCGTTGGTCCTTTCTGGACCAATGGGATTTTTCCCATTTGAGGGGACTAACAGTTTACAAGAGTATGGTGGCCCTTGTTTTAGTTCTGCTAAATCGACTTCTCCTTCTTCGACAGTTAAAGTATCGTCGAAGGATTCTAGATCTTCGTCATCCATCTCAACGTACGCTATTCTCTCTCTCTTGTGAGTTTTCGTTGCCTTAGCTTTTTCAGCTTTGAGGCGTTCTACCTGTCGAACTCTATCGGCCAGTTGGGCCATGTCTCTTAGGTATTGGGTGTCTAGCTTCTTCCTAATGGAATAATCTAAACCGCCTGCGGCTATTTCGACCAACTCATGTTCTGGCACTTGTGTAAAACATCTCGCCTTGAGCAACCTAAACCTATTTAGATATTCGTCTATAGGTTCGGTGAAACGTCTCTTCACACTGGCCAGTTCTTTCAGGCTTATCTTGGTTTGCCCCATGTAGAATTGTTCATGGAACAATCTTTCCAACTGGGTCCAATGATGGATCGAATTGGGGGGAAGAGTTGTAAACCAAGTAAAAGCGTTCTTGGTTAAAGAACTTGGGAAGTACTTGATCCTTAGGTTTTCGTTATTCGAAATGTCTCCTGCTTCGATCAAATATCTCGCCACATGCTCGACAGTAGATTCTGTCGTGTCCCTAGAGAACTTAGTAAATTTGGGGACTTTGCATCTAGGAGGTAAGTCCGTTTGTAACACGTATTCTGACAATGGAGATGTAAAGTTGGGCCTTCGAAAGCCCATGTTCATCCCATTCTGAGTCATGATCCGTTCGATCATGGTTGCCAGATTGTTTTCCAAACCCATGTTTTGGTATTGGATATGCTGAACCACTTCGTCAGCATTTTGGTTTCTGTTAACTAACCTTACCTCTGGGGCTATTACCCTAGGTTCTTCGACAGGTTGTTCCAATCGTGCCCTAAGGTTTTCTTCGACAGGCTGTTGAGCCTGGTTAATGGTGGTTTCTTCCTCTAAAAATATCCCCTGATTTCCCCTTATTTGCGCCCTTTGGGGTTGTCGAACAGGTTGGGGTACTCCAAAGAAGTCAGCCAAACGCGTCATTTGCGCTGTCATTTGCTGATTCGATTGAGTAGTGTTTTGTATTAGAGGGTTTAGCATTGTACTCAAAGTTTGTGCCAACATTTGCACCATATCATGGTTGCTTTCGTCCATCTGTTGCCTCAAGACTGCTGTCGAGGCATTTGTAAGGCCATGGGCTACTTGGGACGTTCCTCCTAAGAGTTGGGTCCTATTTCTATTCGCCATGCCTACTCCAGAGCCTTGGAGTGGCGAAGAGGCACTCACAAAAGGGTCTGAAAAAGTGGACGCAGCATTCGTCAGGCTTGCCACTTCAGAAGTTGGCATACCATAGAATGGAATAAATCCTGGGGGAACCAAAGGCCTTGTGCCTAAATTTCCCCTTGGTGGGGGAGTTCCCAAAGGTATCCTGGGGCCTGTTAACGAAGGTATTGGCCCCGTGGTTGTGACCGATACTGCTGGTGTCGAACCAACATTTGTCGCTTCACTTACGGTCATACTAACCGTTGCTCCCACACTCGTTTGTGGGATTTCGTTATTGTTTGGCGGATTCGCCATCTCTTCCCTTCTTCTGGCAGTATTGTTATCGTTAGTGTATATTCTACCACTCCTCAATAACATACAACTCGAAAAGATGAGATTATTTTCAACAATCAACACACAGTCCCACCAGGTGTGCCAATTTGTTTACCTTGGGTTTTGGTAAACAACCGCTGATCCTCCAAATGGTTACTTATTTGATTACTCGCAGGATCGATCAGATTGATCCTAGGACATAGGTTGATTTTGAAGTTTGATTGAATTGGATAAGGCTTTAAATAAATTGGCTTTAAATGAATTGCATAAAGGAAAGACTTGGTAAAATAAACAAGGCTTTAAAGTAAAAGGTTCGACAAGAATGTAAAGGAGAAAACAAGTAAATTTCTGGAAAAGTAAATGACTTTAATTGATAAAATTGGTGTTTCACACATACATTTCTCAACAATTCTTTCTCACACGCTGGGTACTCGAATCTATATGAGTGACTTTGTATAGAATTGTGAACACACGCGAGAAACTACATGTCTACTACTATTTATACTAAAACATCCCAAGTAACCGTCGGGCAGTTACACTGCTTCGAGATCAATCCACTTGGCACGTTCTCCATGCTCGACGCTCCAGATCCTTGCACGTTTGCACGTGGTAACTGCTGGAAACCGTTTTCCCTCCAAAAGCTTGAATTTCAAACTGCTCCACTCTGAATCATCGAACACTTTCGTCAAGAGACATCTTCGACGAGAAACTCCTTCGACGTCGAAGGCAACCAGCCTTCTTCCTTGGAAGATATCTTCTAAGTACTTTGCCATCTTTCGACGGGCACTTCGACAGACTTAGCCAGTCGAAAGCATCTTTCAGCTTTTGATGGTTGACATTGATAAAACAAGAGTGTCGAATTTAGGAGCCAACACATACCGCTTCTTCCAAATATTTCGGAATAATTTATCCAGAAAAGAGACCACATGCTAGTCTCCACTACACACGTAGATCCTGACCGTCTCCATAGTGGATCTGCATAATCAGCCTAACATGAGAACTTTGACCCAACGCTGGAGGCTATAAATACCCTCTTTTACTAGAGAGTCAGGTACATCATTCTTCACTCTTTTTATTACTTGCATTTTGTTCTGAATCTTATTTTGACATCAGAGTGACTTGCAAGTACTCCCACTTTACTTCCAACCACCGTTCATTTCAAGCTTGTGGACCATTGACGATCCTTTCTGATCAAATACGATCACTTTCAATCATCTATTCTTTGGTCTAGCAACAACATCAAATTTTACTAAAATCAACTCCGCGGGACATTTTCATCTACAGAAATGGCATTTTCATTCAATCTACGTGAAAATTTTACTCCAAAATCACAATTGAAAAGTCTTAATTCAACCTTAGATCAATGGCATAAGTAAAGCACAGATGGTAACATTTTTTACATATATATTTCAGTTACATAACATCTCTTCAGATTACCAAATTTCACACTTTCCACAGTGTCATGATTCTAAATACTCCGGTATGGCCGAAAGAAGAAAATTGTAAGATTATCTGTTGGAAGTTTCGCCTCTTATTTGAACTTTGACATTGCTTCATGTATATATCAGCCTCAACATCTAAGAGCCAGAACAAAATAAGTAAATTGCAGAATATCTAACAAAATACGACAAATGTCAAAGATAATAGAACAAAAATAGTCTTAAAATACTATGGGAATTTTAAATATGTATCTCCAGCAAGATATGCAACCTATGGTCAAACCTAGGAGGAAGTTTAAATGTTACTTGCAATTTCAATGAGAACGTGTGCTCTGCATCCCGTGCGGTTTGAAATTTAATCAAAAAGACCTTTATACAAAGTGGAAGAGGGATTTCTCCATGCCAAAATTTAAATATAAAACTCATACTTAATGACTCTGGATCTCTCAAAGTGAGAAATCAATGTTATTTATTGATTGATCTCATTCGGTAGCTTCGAAGTCTCTGATACAAGATTACTTGTCAACTCATCTCTTCCAAAATATGTGCAAATATTTACATTGTAAAACAATTATTGCTCAATATTGGACTAATAAAGCAAAACTGGGTTTATTAACAAATAAAATCTCATTTAAGGTTTATTACCAGGCTGAAAAAAAAGGATAGATTCTTATGGCTCAGACTTGACAAGCTCCTCCACAGATTTTGTGTAATTGGCAATTAAATCTCTGAAATAGAAAAAAAAACATGTATTTAGGTTATACGAACTTTACTGAACAGAGATATATCTAATAAAATTTGTACAGACCTTCGCTGATTTAGCAATTGCTCGCTTTCCTCTAGCTTCTTCTTCTGTCCCTCGACGGTCTGCATTAAACAACCAAAAAGCCCTCAAGTCAGGCAAAGAACCCCAGCTTCAAACTTCTAGCAAAAAACACAGATTTTTAATATTTCGAGGACATTGAGAAATATGACAGCAGCCAGATCATTCTTTTTAATAATAACATCAATAATTATTGTTTATCATGCAAATAGCATCCTATTAAAGAAAAATTAAAGAAAAAGGCAAATGGTTTGAAGAAATGCAGAAGTGGAAAAGCTTTATTGAGGAGTGAAGCTTTTGAAATGAACAGAGACACACACGTGCACACACACATAAAAGGTTTCAGAGTTGGTCCTAATCTTGATTTCTCTCACGTAAGCAGGAAAAAAACACAGACTGCGGCAGTTTTTGAAAGAAAAAAAAGATCTCCTCTAACATCACCTTCCTTGTTCGTATGTTTACAAGAAAAAGAACCAGCTTAACATGCAGAAATTTATGAGGGCCTTATTTTTTTTTATCTATGCATTGCATCATTTAAATCATATGTTACATTCTTTCCCTTTTCTAATTATCAAGGTAATGTCATATACCATGTGTTTCGGAGCATTCTGTCCATAGAGATAATGTTGCAAAAACAAATACGAGGTATTGTATAAGATTTTATAAAGAGCATAACCAGAATATTTAATCTCAGTGTATCACAACCAGATGCCATAATCACAGGAAAACCTAATTTTTCGGCGATAAGATCATCAATACCCAATCTAAATACATTCATAAAAATAAAACTTTTGAATCAATACCCAAAATCACAAATTGACTATTTCACAATCTAGATTAACACTGACTGGATCAGCTTCCAATTCAAGTTTTTTGCGTCCCCATGTTGACGTGGAAAAGGGCCTCAGCCCAAACACACACTAACAAGAGTGTGTAGTCCTTCGACAATCAGAATTGATGGCCCATGGGCATCGATTGCAAAAGAGGTTGCTTTTGATAATTTGAAAGTACCTTTCTCCATCTTTCAAAACCTACCTCGTCTCACATGTCTCGGCTCAGGTGAGTGATTGTTACCATTAACTAATAACAAAATAATGGGTCAAGATTTAGGCCAACTCTAAATAATTACTCTTTGGAACAAAATTACACCGCTTACTAACTTACTATATACATTGAACTTTATCAACCCAATTGTTAACCGTTGTCATATTATATCGACGATCAAGCACACAAAACATATATATAAAAGGAGAGCACAATGAAAAGGTGAAAGTTCGAGAAATGGAAATACCATGGCTTTGGTGCTAATAGAAGCAGAGATTGAGTTCAACAGCTGCTGACACTTATCAAAATGGTTACTCAATTCAGCAATCTGTAACAAACAAAATGAAACAAAACTAACACAATTCAGTATTCAAATAAACAACCCTACAATGAAAACAAAAAAAAAAAAAAAATCGCGAACGAAAAAACATATACCGATGCATCCGATTGCTGATCCGGGTTTCCATGTTCCACAACCTCAGCCAAATTCTCCAACAACTACATCCACAACAATCAATTAATTTTACCTTAATTAAAAACAATAAAAAAAATATAAATTGAAATTAGGGTTTTGAAGGGGTTTGTTTACATACATGTAAGAGATGGAAGTGAGAAGCGAGTGATTGGTGAAGATTCTGCTGCTGTTGTTGCTGTGGTTGTTGGGGTTGTTGTTGTTGTTGTTGTTGTGGTTGTGGTTGTTGTAGAAGTCGTTGTTGTTGATAAAGCTGTTGTTGCTGTTGCTGTTGTTGCTGGAGTTGGAATTGAGATTGGGGGGTTTGTGGTTGTTGAAAAGATTGCTGTTGTTGTTGTTGATGGAGAAATTGTTGCTGTTGTTGTTGAAGATAAAGGTTTGGGTCTTGATTGGATTGGGATTGGATTTGGGAATTGGAATTTGGGGTTGGAATCATTGTCCATGTGCCTCCGGGAGAAGAGTAATGATCCATTGCGATTTACTACTACTCTTCTAGCTTCGCTTCAATTTGTTCGATTCCCCTTTTATGTTAAATAGGTTTGATTATTCAAAGGATTTATGAGTTAATTCTATAGTAGCTTTATTTCATCTATATTTTATAATTTTCTGTTTTTTTATGCTTTAATTTGTGAGCATATCTAGATTGTCCTGAATATTTCAAATGATCTTTAAAATGTCATTGTTTTATGAATGTTATTAGGTATGAAACCTTCGAAACAGACTAATTTCATTAATGGCTTAATTCTTCTATTAACAAATGTAAGCATCAATGGCAAATGTGACTCCATATATAAGATGGAGATAAATTGTGGAGGTTTAAAAAATATTGATTGAAAATAAAATATTTTAGAAAATTAGAATTTAAAAACACTTTATACAAGGAAATGAAGTTTAAAGTCTAATCAATATGGAGTTTTAAATGGTGGTCCTCCAAACCAAAACATAGATTTTCTATGGAATGGTCTCAAACCAATATGGAGTTTTAAATTGGATATCTTTCGAACCAATATGAGATTTTGAGTTAGCTATCATCTGAATCAAATTGGAGTTTTACACAGACTAGCCTCAAGCCGATTTGTGATTTTACACGGGTTAATCTCGAATTAACTGAGCTTTTACACCAGGCTGAACTCCAGAATCAAGATGAGATTTTACACAAGTTAATTTTGAACTGATAGAACTTTTAACAGGGCTAAGATGAATAGCCTTTATGGAGATTTTAATAGTTAATCTTCACGAATCAAAAGAGAATTTTTCTTCTTGGTGAAACTCGCGAATCAAACGGAGACTTCTTAAGACAATTCTCCAATTCAAACAAGAGCTTTTACTAGATTAGCTCCCAACCAAACAACTTTAAATAAAGGATAGTACACTCTTAATAAATTATAATTAAGCGCTTACCTAAAATAATAATCCTCACTTAGACATAAGAAAACTCTCCAAGCACTATGGCTATATATATTATATGTGTGTGTGTATGTGTGTGTGTGTGTGAGGTTTAAATTTGGAAACAATCCATGGGCGAAATGAATACCATAATCAATTATTGACTCCCAATAATCGATTGTTCAAGCCTGAAATGAAATGTTTTGATATTTAGTGTTAACAATCATTAAGAGGTTGTCCCAATCAATTTTAGACTCAACCAAAAGAAAATAATCAATTAGGTGATTAGGACTAATAGATTATCCAATTGGAAAAATTCATCCAATTGATTAGACAATCTCCTAATTAATTAGTTAGGCCTTGGAATTATTTTCAAGTGGTCTTCATAAAATATGATAGGTTTCTCAAAAGTTGTGTGTGTGCGTGTGTGGTTTTTTGATATTTTCAAAAGTATCATTATTACAAGACACTTGTCACTAAGATAGACACGACCAGACGAACGTTCACACTTACTCTCTTTCACAATTCTGAAGCTTCAAGTTTTAGCATCATTATCTTTGATTTTATCATCACACATGAACCTTTAATCTTATAGCTTGATAAGGCTTAAGATACCCTCATGTTGATCATCACCATCTAAGTGTTGTAGAACCACCGGCTAACCACATCATTGACTTCAAAGAGATGATGTGATCTTCAAAAGCATCTTCAAAGGATAACTTGATTAAAAAGGATAACTAGGTAAAACATTTTGAGCATCTTCGAACGCTTGAGATATCTTCAACAAATAAATATTTCTCTAGACATATTTTGATATTAGTTGTAGTCATCATCAAAACTAAATAGTTAATCATTATCAACAAACTCCACCACCTTAGATCACCTTGACAATTCCTAAAAGCATATAGATCCACACTTAATCTCCACGCATCAAATTTCTTGGTGTGATTGAACCTTTTAATTTCACACCAATTATCAAGAGAAAAAACAACTCATTCAAATTTTAAAGTTCCAGTTTCAACTATTGAATCTTCTATTTCTAGCATAGAGAAAGAATCTAAACTTGCAGAACCTCTGAAATTAATAAATATTATAATATGGAATGAAGCACCTATAACACATATGTTTTACTTTTAGAAACTTGATAAATCATTAAAATATATTATGATTGAGAGAAAAATTGCATTTAAGAAGATATTTAGAGGAAAATAGTTGTTTTTGATGGTGATTGTATAGAGATTCAACCAGTTATATTATATTGTTCATCCAACAAGAAATGTGTCATATATTTAGGATCATTACAGAGTCTTAAGACTTAAAAAAAAGTATGTGCTTATAAATTATTGCATTGACATCCATTAGCAAAGATATAAGAAAGTTTACGGAGTGAATAATAAATATTGATTATAGAAAAATTCCATAATTAAATGGTGGATATGTTAATATTACCATCCTAAAAGAGTTTTTGATATCTAATTTTAATGATCTAATTGAAGTCATTGTTTTAAGTACATGTCTAGATCTAATAATAACTACAAAAATTTTCATTATCTTCAAGGTAGTTCAATATTTTTTAATTGATTAAGAAGTCATTACCTTGCTCTAATTGATTGGACGAAGTCTTTAGTTGATTAAGTGTAAAAATTTCATAATTGATTAGAATTACTCTTTAATTAATTCTACATAAATCTATATAGGTTTTCGAGAGACTTTTATATATATATATATATATATATATATATATATATATATATATATATATATATATATATATATATATATATATATATATATATATATATATATATATATATATATATATATATATATATATATATATATATATATATATATATATATATATATATATATATATATATATATATATATATATATAAATATATTTTTGGTCTCTATAAATTATTAAATTTTATTTTTGATCCTTATAAAAAAACATGTCATGTTTTAGTCCTTACAAAATTATTATGCACATAGTTTTAGTCTCTGCTGTTAAACTTATATGTATTTTTGACAGAATATCTGCTCGGGTGTTGTGTTCGCGGGAAACATATTTTACCTCTACAGATTCGAACTTTGTCATTATTTTCCGGACTAGGGTCAAGTATTCAGAGAGGTTATCATTCTTGACTTGATATTCTCCCCGTACTTGAGAAGCGACGAACTGGGAGTCTGTGAAGATTTTCACTTCTTCGGCTCCTAAGTCTTCGGTCAAACATAGTCTTGCGAGGAAAGCTTTGTATTCTGCTTAATTATTGGAGTTCAAGAATGACAAAGTGAGAGAGACTTCAATCGGGATCCCTTCCTCGTTCTTGAGGATGATGCCCGCTCCGCTTCCAGTTGAAATGGAGGCTCCATCCACGAAGATGGTCCATTTGCATGCCCCATATATCGGGGGCGATGGCGAGGTCATCTCTGCCACAAAGTCAGTTAGTACTTAGGCTTTTTAAGGGCCTTTCTTCCCTCGTACTTGATGTCGAACTCAGATAACTCTAATGACCATTTAAGCATCTTGTCCTTCATGTTTGGACGTCTAAGCAGCTGTTTTACAGGCTGGTCTGTTTGTACGGAGATTGTGTGGGCTGAGAAGTAGTACCTTAATCTTCTTGTCTCACTAATGAGGGCCATAGCCACCTTTTAGATCTGCTGATACCTGAGCTCTGGGCCTTACTCGTAAAGTATATGGGTTTTTGCCCCTCATGGGTTTCCTGAATGAGAGTCGCACTAATGGCCTCAACTGCGACGGCAAGATAGAGGTAGAGAATTTCTACATTATCTGGTCGAGAGAGGACCATTGGCTTCGAGATTGCTCGTTTGAGGTGGAGGAGGGCTTGTTCGCACTCCTCGATCCACTTAAATGATGCTTCTTTGTGAATAAGTTTGAAAAGGGGAAGTGCGTGCTAGGCAGATTTTGCCACGAAGCGGAATAACGAGGTGAGCATCATGTTCAAAGATTGGGATAACTTTTTTGAATTTGGTGTTGGAAACTCAGAGAATTCCCTACACTTGTCAGGGTTGCCTTTAATTCCTTGTTCTGTTAGGTAGAAGCCGAGGATTTTTCCTGCTCGTACGTCGAAGATGCACTTCTCTAGATTGAATCGCATTTTGCATTTCCTCGCTTGGTCGAACACCCTTTTTAAGTGGAGCGTATGGTCGAAATCCTCTTGGGGCTTCAGGATCATATTGTCCATATAGACCTCGAGCATGTCTCTAATCTCTCGTCGGAAGACTTTGTTCATCATTCTTTAGTATGTGGCGCCGACGTTTTTCAAGCCGAATGGCATTACATTGTAGTAATAGTTTCCCGAATCAGTCATGAACGCCGTGTATTTTTTGTTTCTTTTTTCCATATGGATCTAGTTGTATCCAGAGTATGCATCTGTAAAAGACAACAATTTAAAACCATTAGAATTATCAACTAATTTATCTATGTTGAGCAAGGGATAAGCATCTTTGAGACAAGCTCTATTAAGATTGGTATAGTCAACACACATTCTCCATTTTTCATTCTATTTCTTTATAAGTACAACATTAGATAGCCAGGTTGTGTATTGGGCTTCACAAATAAAATTTTCCTCTAGGAGGTCTTTTATAGCTTACTCGGCAGCCTCCATTTTCTCCAAAGAGTACTTGTGTCTACGCTGGGCTACAACTTTAAGGCATGCTGAAGGTGAGAAAACACTTAGAGGGAGGGGGGGGGGGGGGGGGGTTGAATAAGTTTCTAATTTTCTTTTACTTAAAGGCTTAACAATAATGGAAAGACATAGTTATTTTTATCCTAGTTTGTTTGAACTCAAACTACTCCAGTCCACCCGCCAAGGTGATTTCGCCTTTCTCAACAAGGACATAATTCACTATAATCAAACTGATTACAATCACACAACCAAACTGTTGTGACTAAAAATTCAAAGCACAAGTAAACTTACAAGTGACTAACACCACTAAGACTCAAACTAGTCCTAGCCTTCTTGAGAAATCTGACCAAACTTGGTCTCTCAAGGAATAATTACAAGAATTAAATCTTTACAGATAGTGAAACAAATTGCTTCTTAGAAAGCTATATCACAA